CTTCGTCGATCTGCCTGTTCTGTTCCCCACTCTGTCTCTGGTGAAGCCTTTCGCCGCCCCTGAGCCTCTGGCCTGTACCCCAGTTCTGTATGCACAAATAAATAAATCTTTAAAAAAAAACATCACATTTAATTTTTTCCTAGGGAATCCAAAGCAGTCATCATTCTGAACAAGGGGTAAGGGCCAATAAAGCTTTGTTTTGTGTGAAAAGCCCTCGTGGGGGAGAGGTGTCCACAGCATGAGAGTTGTCCACTGCCGCTAGAGAGGACAGTGTAAGTGGGACTGCACCAAGCACCTTGCAGGGGAAGGAGCTTCCCAGGCTCTTTCAATAAGCTTGTTGCCTAGACCCAAGCAGCAAATATGCCAACAGCAAAGGTCTGACTGGCAGGGCCTGAAGGGGCTCCCCTGCTGCCTCCCTTGTGTACCTTTGCTCCTCAGCAGTGGGGTGGGTTTCTTTCCATGTTCAGGCATCTTCGCACTGGTCCTGAGAGCTTCTGCTGCAGGAGCCTGTTGGGGAACACATGACATTCAGGGGACAAGAGATCACCATTCAGGGGGAGAGGCCCCTTCTTGGCCTACACAATCTGCAGCTGCTCAAACTCTGAGGTGAGGACCAGACTTAAGGAATATGATAATTACTTGCTTACATTACACAGGAAATACAAATTTTATCAACATGTGATGAACATCGGAAACCACCAAAAAGTATGCTGATGATTATCTTTGATATGGCAGATGTAAGGGGGTTAATGTTCTGTATACTTCCTAGTATTTGCCAATTTTCTAGAGAGAACATATTTACTTTGGTTTTAAAAAAAGTCCATCGCATATTGATAAAATCAGTTCATCCTGTTTATAATAAGATTTTTTTACAAAAAATCAAGCAATACATGAAGCATGCCTGCTGTTACAATATAACATAGAGCCAGATTGTACAGAGAATTTCTCAATGCACAGGCAGCACTCTGTCAACCCTGAACTACAAGCACTAGAATAAGAAAAAGGCAAATAGGGCAAGGAAGGAAGAAGTTGATTCTTCTTGCAGACGTAATTCTTCACATAAAATAGTCTAAAACACCTTCAAAAATGTTTCTAAAACCATCAAGTAAACAAGGTTGTAGGATACAGGGCAAATATTTTAAATATCAGGCACATTTCTAGTGACCAGTAACTTTGGAAATTGAAGTTTGTCATAAAAGTTCTTGGCCCTCCCTGGTGGCGCAGCGGGTTAAAGCACAGCACTGAGAATCTAAAGCCGCTGCCGCGTGAGTTCGATTCCCGCCTGCCCCGGAGGTGACCACATGGTGTGGCAGACCTCTCCTGACCCGCCCGCTGCTCCCCTCAGCAGTGTACTTCGTCGATCTGCCTGTTCTGCTCCCCACTCTGTCTCTGGTGAAGCCTCTCACCCTGAGCCTCTGGCCTGTACCCCAGTTCTGTACGCACAAATAAATAAATCTTAAAAAAAAAAAAAAAAGTTCTTAGCATCAGGACCCTCCCTGGTGGTGCAGTGAGTTAAAGCACAGCACTAAGAAGCTAACTTCCACATGAATTCCTGCCCCGGAGGAACTGGCCCACATGGAGTGGCGGACCTCTCCTAACCTGCCCGCGACTGCCCTCAGCAGTGCAGCAATATTCTTCATCAGTGGGCCTGTTCTGCTCCCCACTGTACCCCAGTTCTGTAATGCATAAATAAATAAATCTTTAAAAAAAAAAGTTCTCACCACTAGAGGAATAAAAAGTGCAACTGTGGTGATGGATGTTAACTAAACCAGACTTACTGTGGTGATCCTTTCACACACACTATATAAGTATCAAGCCACTGGCCTGAATGCCCAGGACTAATAAAATGTTATATGTCAATTACATCTCTACTAGAAATAAAATGGCTTCATTAAAAAAATACAGTACCAGGCCCTCCCTGGTGGCGCAGTGTACTTAATTGGTCTGCCTGTTCTGCTCCCCACTCTGTCTCTGGTGAAGCCTCTCACCGTCCCTGAGCCTCTGGCCTGTACCCCAGTTCTGTATGGACAAATAAATAAATCTTTAAAAAATAAATAAATAAATAAATAAAATTAAAAAAAAAATACAGTACCAGGTATTATAGAAGTAAAAAAAAAAAAACCTACATATTTATGTATAAACATAACAAAACATGGGGCAGAGCTTTACACTGCAAGTTACAAGGTACTGCTGAAAGAGATCCAAGACCTAAATAAATGGAGATGTGTACTTAGTTCATGGATTGAAGAATAAATTTTTAAGATGTCATCTTCCCCAATGGATGCACAGATCCAATGCGCTCAAAATCCCAGCAGAAGTTTTGGTCAAAAATGGCAAGCTAAGTCTAAAATTTACATGGAGAAATAGAGGTTCCAGAAGAGCGAAACAGTTTTGAGAAAGAACAGATTAGGATAATTCACACTATCTGACTTTCAAGACTTGTTACAAAGCGACAATAATCTTGGCAGCTAGCCTAGGAATAGACACTAGAAGAATGGAAAGGAATAGTGTCCAGAAATGATTCACACATGTCTGGTCCACTGAGTTTCAACAAAAGGTGATGAGCAATACAATGGGGAAAGGAAAATCATTTCAGCAAATGGTGCTGAAACAAGAGAATATTCACACACTTAAAATAACAAACCTTGGGCCCTCTCTGGTGGTGCAGTAGGTTAAAGCGCAGCACTAAGCAGCTAAAGCCACTTCAGCATGAATTCGATACCCAGCTCCGGAGGTGACCACATGGCGCAGCAGACCTCTCCTGGCCCACCCGCTGCGCCCCTCAGCAGTGTATTTCAGTAAATCTGCCTGTTCTCCCTGTTGTGTCTCTGGTGAATTGTCTCATACCCTGCAACTCTGGTCTACACCCCACATCTTGCATAAATGAATAAATCTTCAAAAGGGAAAAAGTTTTCATAACTCAATCATAGAAAACATAAAACCTATTAACAAATAGGCAATAAGTGGGCCTCCCTGGTGGCCTGGGGGTTAAGTCTCACCATGATTACAGCAACAGCCCTCCTGTGCCAAAGTTGCCTGAGTTCGATCTCCTGTGCCAAAGTTGCCTGAGTTCGATCCCTGGCCATGGAAGTGGCTCTCATGGCACAGCAGACCTCTTCTGTCTTGCCCACTGCTCCCCTCTGCATTGTTTTTCAGTGGATCTGCCTGTTTTGCTCCCAATCTGTCTCTGATGTGTCCTCTCACTACCCACACCTCTGGCCTAGATCCCACTTCTTCTACACAAAAATTAATAAAATAAAAACTTTATAATAAAGGAATAATTCTTTTAAAAAACAGGTAAAAACTTTGAAATGACACATCACCAAAGATATAGGAATGGCGAGTAAGCCCAGGAGAAGACACTCAGTATTGGTGTGGAAAGCAGATTAGAACCACAGTGAAGTACCACTTCGAACTCACTAGTCTTCAATCTCGAAAGCATCAAAAGGAACTCGCACCTGGGGCAGGTGGAGCTGCAGAGGTATTGCTACTCTGGATAATAGCTGGGTGGTTTATTAGAGTCAAGCATACATGTAGCCTACAATTCCCTTCCCAGGAAAAAACGAGAATACATCCAGAAGCCTGCACAGGAATGTTTAAGGAATGTTTGTTCATAACTGCCAAAAACGAGAAACTAACCGAATATCCTTCAGCCACCAGAACCAACTGACACTGACTGGCAATGACAGGCAGAGCCCTCCAGCATGCTTCAGTGAAAGTCAGACACCAGCAACTACATCCTGTGTGACAACTTTTAAATACCCTCAGGAAAGACAAAGCTACAAAGTCAGACAGCACGATGGCAGACACATGGGGGCACTGTGACCAAATCTGGCAGGCAAGATGAAAATGATCAGAGTGAGATCCTATGAAGTATGTCCTTTGGTTGAAAGTCACCCCAATAAACCAGTCAACTAGACTCTGCCTGAGGATGAGACCGTGTGGGGTCGTGACTTATGACAAATGCACCACTCAGGTGGGGGTGGGGGTGCCCACAGAGAGAGAGGCTATGCATTTGTGAGGGTAGGAAGGTACTGGAAATCGCTGTACTTAAGGCTCAATTTTACTGTGAATCTAAAAGTGCTCTAGAAAATACAGCTTATTAAAAAAGGAATTTTCAAGTAAGGTGTCAATTTGCACAGACTGTTTTCCTCAAGCCAGAGCTTAAGTCACACTGTTGAAAATCTGTAACTTACCCTACTCCATAAAACAAAGGAAACAGCAATTAATATTTATTAAATTTTACCATAACAACATGGCAAGCAGAGGGACTAATACAACTTTACTACATTCTCGACAGTAAACACTGGAAACAAATACATAACTGGGTGATCTGATTGTTTTCACTGAACTGCACACAAGGCACGTGCTTAAGGGATCAAGTGTCTCATGCCATGATCTTTAAAGGTTTCATAAATTTCATAGTTTACTAAACTCTTCCTCTAATACTGGATGATACAGGTCTATCATCTCTTTCTCTAAAACCCAGCAGGTATTTGTTAAAGAGCAGCAAGTCCTGGGCGCTGTGCTGGAAACGAGACAGTACTGCTTCAAGGCAGAACTCAGAAAGAAACTGTCAGGCAAACAGGAAAGTTGTGGATTTCAATAGCGATCACCGGGGTTTGCTAAAGGGACTCTCAACCAGAGCAGTCGCACGACAGACTCAAGACACGGCACCAACGGCCGCACCTCAGATGCAGCCTAACAAAGACCACCAAGGCTTTCTTTGGGACTACCAGGCCTGGTGCCTATGACTTGTCTTGGAATTCTAGGTCATCAGAACTCTTTCAGAATCTTTCAAATGTTACCTTTTTGGTGGCTTTCTTTTCATACTGCAAGTATCGGGATTCAACCACACGTCCACCTGTGGGGACACACAGTTGGTGTACAAAAGACAATGGATGCTGAGGACCCCCCACGCACCCACTCTAATACCTGGGCCTGAGAATTTTCCCTGCTCCAGATAGCACTGGGGAACTGCTTCTCTTTGCTTCTCTCAGACCCTGTCCTGCAGCTCTCAAGCATGTACGGGGCACCCACTATGTGCAAGAATATGGGTGAGACAACTGCTTTGCAAGAACTTTATGGGACATCTACTGAATGTAAGAATATGTATGGGGGGCACACTGTAAGAACGTGTGGGGCACCTATTATAGAAGTACATAATTGGATCACCACTGTATGCAGGAACATATATGGGACACCTACTGTTATATGAACATGTATGGGAGACCTCCTGATTGCAAGTCTCTGGGCTAGCAGCAAACAGGTCAACAGGAGGCATGATATGAAGGTTAAAGCAGAAAGTGGGGCAGGGCAAAGAAAGACCTTTCACCAGGGTCTCCTATTTGCTTCCTCCTCCCTTCCCAGCTCACTCCATGACCCCCACAGCCCTTTCCCCTACTCATGATACCATCATTCACTGTACCGCCCCAGATGTTACTCTCATCCTGCTTTTTTATACACAGCACACCATCTGACACACCCTGTGGTCCCTGCATCTCTATATGGTCCACTAACTCCATCTGGTCTTGTATCCAGTCCGGGAGTTCAGAGGGCTCCCTTTTACCAAGAGACCCAGAGAGAGTGGCACAGTCAGTAACACCCAAGCTGTGGTTCCAGGAGTATCTTCACAACAGGATTTGTGTTTTCCTTTGGTAATTAGGATTGCAGGTGCAGCCCAGAGAGGAAAGGAGGTGCACTCCCCTAGTTAATGTGGAGCCCAGCAATGGCCATAGATCTGAAGGTCACCCTTGGCAGGGATGAGTCATGTCTCAAGGGCAAGTGGGTCAGGCAACATGCTGGAGGCACCTCAGGGTTAAGGAAAGGGAAGAATTAAGCCACACCAAGGGCTTGCCACTGAACAAAGAGCAATGATTAGGATATACCCCCACTTCCAATCGGGAAAGGTCATCCTGCATTGGGTCTAGTATTTTTAGCAAAGGATTTAGCTCATCTAGAAGGGCCCTGGACAGTTGGAAAGTTGGAAAGCAGTTCCAAGTTTCTGGAAAACTGGAATGTACAGGTTTACTGAAACGGTGGCATATACTCCACAGCAGCAACATGATGAAGGATGTAATCTGTGTTCAGGAGCTCAGCTGTGTGCAAACATAATAGATGGTGTAACGAGATCACTAAGTAGTGATGCAACATGTCATTTGGAACCAGAATCTGCTATCTTCTCTGCAATGGGCACAGGCATCTAGCACAACCCAAGTTTTCATTTACTTTTTTAAGCTTATCATCCACATTGGACACTGTTGAATCCAAGGGGGCTATTAAAAGACCCCAAAGCCACAAGTGGGCACTGAACTCTAGGTATCTGAAATGACCACTTAGAGTGAGGGAATGGAGACTCTGCTGTTCGGTAGTGAAGTCAGCTCATGCCCTCCGCACCCACATTCCAAGTGGGAATTCCCAGGCACAGTCGTCCCCACAGGGCTGGAAGGGCCTGCTGGCTTGGAGAACACAACCAGGGCCTACAGCACTCCTGGCTGCAGGGCTGGGTGAGCAGACCCAGAATTCCCAAACATGTGGCTGGAAGGAAGTAAAGCTCTAGCTCCCTTGTTTGGTCTTTTTCTTTCCCAAAAGTACTTAATGAAAGTAAAAAAAAAAAATCACTTTATTTTAATGGATCATGAGATCTAACTTTACATACCTTGTGTTTTTCTTCCTTTCATCTTAGCACCACCAGGAGTACTGGGACCCCCCGTAGGCGGCTTCCTGAGAGGAGAGAAAAATCTTCTTTATGGACAGGCATCCTGCCCCATAATGGCTCAACTTATGATGGTGCAAAAATGATTCATTCAGTAGACACTGTACTTCACATTTGGAATGATGGCACTTAGTGGGTCACTTTCGGTACTGTACTCAATCAGCTACATGAGAAACTCCATACTTCAGTATAAAAGGGGCTCTGTGTAAGATGATTTTGCCTGACTAGAGACTAATGTCAGTGTGCTAAGTATGTTTAAGGTCAGGTAGGCTGAGTTATGAGGTTCAGTAGTCAAGTGTGGTAAACGCATTTTCCACTTATTTTCAGATTATAATGGGTTACCAGGATGTAACCCCATACTAAACTGAGGAAGATCTACATTTGGTGAAGAAACTGGGGCAAGTAAGTGAGTAGCCTGGGCTTCTGATTTCTGTGAGGCGGGGGTACCTCCACAGAAAGAGGGCCTCTGGCTCACAGGGCAACACAGCACAGCCCAACACCTAAATTGACAGGGACCAGACAAGAGGTATGAGCACTTTGGCCAAGACTCTGAGATCTCAACTTAAGTCAAGGTTTTTAATTCATCATGCATTTATATATATGGTCCCTTCCATGAGAGGGATGCCCAGCACGGCTCCCCATCAGACAGCTATGAGGGGCACTCCAGGTAGATAACTACGGGGGTATAGAGGGCCAAGGAGGGGAATGAAAAAGCACTACTTGCTCAGCTAACGGGAAAGGACCTTCTGAGGCTGGGATCAAAAAGGGCGTGGAGGACAGAGGAGAACGATAAGGATAAAGGGATCAGCCCTGTGGTTTAGCTGAAGAGAAGAGAGGCAGGGATGCAAATCAATAAAACTGGTGTGGCTGGCAGTCCTGATTTTCTAGCTTAAGGGCTGAAACCTATTCCTAGAACCTAGGGTTTGATACCTTGGAAATGGACAATAAATACTTTCAGCCCCTGCTTGCAGTCACTGCAAGGGAGTAAAGATTCCATCTGGGGTCCGAGGCAAGGAGTCTAACTGATGGAATCAGATCAAACCTCCAGAGACCTAGAGGTAGGAGGGGGACCCACCTGTGCCAACCTCTGGTAGCTCTCCCTTACCTCTGAAAGATAATCTCACATTTAGGGCAAAATGCTGGGGAAGAAACAAATTACTTCAGCGGACCTATTTAATGTTAATTCCCAGTGGCACAATAAACTTTCGCCAAATTAACAAGACAAATCTTGCCTCGAAATGATAAAAGTTCAATGTCTGCCTTCTGGCTCTCACAGTCGCCTTAGACAAAAGACCTTCCCTCTCTGAACTTCCATGAACTCATTTGAAAATGGGGAACATAGAAAAAAGCGGGTGGGAGGATTCAAGGAAATACTTTAATGGTCAGGCATTTGTCCATTTCGTAGTGATAGTTTTATTTAAGACAGGCGCTTTTCCAAGCGCTTTAAACCTCACAAGAGCTCCTAGCAGGCTGCGCGTCCGGCGTCACCCCACCGGGTTCCACAGCAGAGGAAAGGGAGCACAGACTTTAAGTCACCTGGCGAGACCCCCGCCAGCAACGGTGAGCCGCCCCGGAATCCAGGGCCCCTCTAACACCCGCTCTCCGAGCATGCGCCCCGCCGCGCCCCGCCGGCGCACCCTAGGTGATTCGGCAGGGGTCAGACCCCAGCAAGCCCCAACGACCCGAGCCCACCAATGCCGCCGCCACGCCGCCCCCAATCCTCGGCCATAGCCTTCTAGCCGGCAGCCCCACAGCCAGATCCGCGGCGCCTCCACTCACCCGGCGCCGCGACCCGAGGAATCCGCCATCTTCCCGCCTTCAACTCAAAGGCCCACTCAAGCCCAGGTCCCGCCCCCCGGGCCGGACCATATAGCAGAGTCGCGGGAGGGGTGGACGCGGACGCAGGGAGCGTGGGCGATAGCTCCCACAGCGTGCGCCTTTCCGTTCTCCCCTTGCACTTGTTTTCGTCCACCAGCCGCCGTAGGCGGCGGCTGAGGCGCCAGCGGAAGACAGGGGCGGGGACTTGAGGCGCTCCGCCCCCGAGGTGGGCTGGCGTCACACACTAGCCCCGCCTCCCCGGAACCCGGAAGCGGGAGCGCGGGGGAGCAGCGGGCGCGGTGGGG